AAACTCAGATAAAATAAACCCTATCTAATTTTTTTATGTTGTAGGGGAACTTGTTGGTCTTTTCATAAAATATTTCGTAGACAAAAACAGATGTGATGAGACCCGTTTGGTCTCACCTATTTTAAATTAAAATGTTACTTCTTAAAAAAAAAAAAAAGTTATATTTATATTTAAATTATTTTTTTTCAAAATCACAAAACAAACAATTTACCAACCACAAAAAATCAAGTTGAACATAAAAACGGCCGACAATTCTCCACGATCTCTTTTTCTATTAAAAAATAATCAAATTATGTTTTATTAGATCCATTCTTATAAGTAATAATATGCTCATCAATTTTTTAGATAGAATATCAGCAATAACAAAATCATAAACTAAGTCAAAATCTAATAGTGTTCTACCTTCTTCATTAATCACTTTAAAATCGTAGCCATCATGAATATTTCTAAAATCTTCTGTCGCTCTACCAACATGTATATGTATATATATATATATATATACATACATACATACATACATATACATATACGTATAATTAATGATATTATATCAACAAGAACAATGACATGACTAGGACAAAGATAAAGAGTTAACACAAAAAAAAATATTGAAAAATACAAATAAAAACATCAATCTAATTAGTACAAGAGTGAACAACTCCATTGATGGTATGTTGTGATGTTATTGTATGAGAAATTGGAACCAATCATCCCAAAAATCATGAATCCAACAAACAAAAAGATGAGAAATAGTTTTATCAAATCTAAACTTGATCAACATTACATGTTAGGATAGAGCGGATGGTTGATTGTCATAGAGTTGTTCTGTTGTAGAATATTTAATTAAAAAAAAATTAAAAGTTCAAAATTACTTTTTATACTTTCTCGACATTGAAATAACCAGGATCCATGTTGAAAGGAAAAATTATACATATACTTTCCAAAAACATACTAAGCCTTTAAGGCATGGTATGTAATACCATCTACGTATAGTACATAAAGCATACATGAAAAATAATAACCAAAAGCAATCATCATGGAAACCTTTAACATTAGAATGAGTATAGGTTACAATAATAAAATCTTCATTACGTGAGCATTTAGTTTTTAAAGGTAATAATAATTCATCGACATGAACAACCAGTAATGCAGCACCATCATGCATGCAAAGGTAATGAAGTAAAACTCAATTCTACAAAAATTACTATGAATAATTATACAAAAAGAATGCTAATTTGTAATAAATACTTTGTGTTGATTAGATAAACGGTTTTATTGATATTTTTTTGTATGTTTTCATTGCCTCTTTATCGTTATAGTCTTGACGAGGACATTGCTCTTATTAATTTAATGTCTTTATTTGATGAGTGCAATACATATTATTAGTATTTTTCATATATGCTTTAGATAACATAGGATATTTGCTAGAGTGGATTCTATTATATAAAAATTTAACCCAATCAAAGAGGTTGAAGATTAGAAATATTATTTTATTAGGAATACTTATGTTTAGATGATTATTTAGTTAAAAATATTGATTTACAATGCATATAACCTTCACTACAATATCTAGCTAATCATGCTTATATTGAATTCATGTTTATATTTAAGTTTTAACTGAATTTGAATGTGAGAATGACACCTACATTTGAGTATATTTTTTAGTTTTAATTCGAGTCAAAGTTAAACTAATAGCTTTAATTTCTTGAAATAGTTGGTTTATTTGAGCCATCTCATATCTTGATGGCCAAAAATTCACTTTTAGCTTGTCTTCTACTAATCAATGAATTAATTTTGTCTATGGTTTTGTTAATAGATCATGATAGTAAAGGAAGATCAAGTTTAAGAATGTTACTTTAAAATTACATGGTGGTGGTCTCTTTAGTGATGCATTTCTTGATGAAAGTATCAAGTTTAAAGATGTTTCTGATAAATTAAAAAAAAAAACAGTAGTCGGATCGTATTGTTCAATAATTTTTCACTGATTTACCATATTTGAAGTAGTTCTACTTCATAAAATTCCTACTTTTTCTTAAAAAAGTAAGTTATCATTTTTGACATCATGAAAATTCTCTTTTAGAAATTTTCATTAGTTCATTTATTTTATCTTTTTAAAATTATCGGTAACGCTTCATGTAATATTAGGCCCTACTTCATTGCCTTTACATGCATCTTATTTTGATGGCAACATTGCTTCTTGCTCATGTACGTGTGTTATTTACTCTCTTTGAAAATTAAAATGTTATGCTTAATGAATATTTTATAGTTGGCTTGGAAATGTACAATAGATGACCGCAGATGTGCCAAAAAAATTAATAGATACAAATTATGTAACAGATATAAAGAACACAAGGGATTGAGAAAAATGACTTGGATACAAATAGTGCAAAATAGAATTCATAAATCCAACCTGAAATAGTTCGGATAGAGCTAATGGTGATTATGATGAAGTCAAAAAAATAATCATCAAACCATCCATTATGATTACATACTCAAATTCAAATTTGACCCTCCAATGACGCCGGGGCTGCAAAACATTATTAAGTTAAACAGCACCAACATGTCAGCAGGTTTAACCCAGCTATATCCAGCCGTGCAACATAGGTGGATAGAAGCTCATTAATAATTGATACAACAGCTAAAATTAAATCTTTGATAAGCAATGCATAAGCATATGTCCTAAAACAAACATGTATGAGTGTGCGTGTGTGTGTGTGTGTGTGTGTGTGTGTGTGTGTGTGTGTGTGTGTGTGTGTGTGTGTGTGTGTGTGTGTGTGTGTGTGTGTGTGTGTGTGTGTGTGTGTGTGTATAAATTAAAATACTGAATATTTAGCATGTGTTAATTAGACATGCCGATCACAACTATAGCAACAATCCAGTAACGTTCGCCCCATGGACATACCAATAACATCTAGCTTCTTACAAACACCATTTATATTTCAGCTACAAAACCATCCTTACGTTAATCTCCATTAAAAATAGAACTCATCACACCATACTCCCTACAAAGATTCCATCAAAATTAGAAGCTCGTTCAGCCAGCCATCAGAACTCAGCCGAAACTTAAAATTCATCATCCAATAACTCCCGAGGTGTGCATCAAGTTGTACAGATAATGAGCAAATCAATAAGTAATTTCTTCAGTTTAATATGCGTGATTCACCCGACTCATAAAACAATCACCTAGTTTAAAAAAAAAAAAAAAGAGTTTGTTTAAACAGATTGCTTGATCAGTAGAACAACAAACTCTACACTTCTACAGCCAGAAAAATAACTCCGAGGCTATGGCACAAAATCATATCGCAGACAATATCTACTAAAACCATAGATCTGCATATAAAAGCACTGCCTACAGAAAATACCGCCGTAGCTATGTAACCTATGCCTAAGAATATGAGACTAAATCGAGTTTTGCATCAAAATACGCTAAATTTGAGGATAAATGAATCGAATTCATCACCTAAGTGAAAGTCGTGCCCGCATTGGAGCCTTGCAGTTGACCGCTCTCCCTTATGCAGAACAAGATCGAGACAGATCGAGCAGGAGACCGTCTTGAGTTCCTCGGAAATATAAGCTTTTTCCAGATCCATAACATCCGCCGCTTCAAAATCAGTCAGTAGATCCCTTGGAGTTCAGGTTTCCAATCCTCTGCCAGCGAACACAGAGACCCAAAAAAGGAAAAAAATCGATGGATTTAGCAGGTGGGGAGACGATGGGCGTTCAGAGAGTAATAAAAAGGATAAATTGGGCGGAAGACGAGTCTTTTATTATTTGGCGTGCCGGTTCAAACTTATTTATATTAAGGGTAGGGTGATTTCACCTTGATTCCCGTTGCTTTTTTAGTATTTTAATAAAAAAATATATTTAACATGTTTTTTTTTTAATTAAATTAAAGTAAAGTTGTCATCTCTCTCCTCTTCTATTATGATTTCGATTAATAAGTTGATTGAAGTCTTGTGCATTTTTTAGAAGGTTGTCAATTTTCGTATTATTTTTCTAAATTGGTGGATGTTTCTATTTGTTGAATATAGAGTTATTCTTTGACAATACACGTCTCGAGAGTTAGAGTTAGGAAGAAGAGTAAAGAGAGAAAAAAAATACTAGTGAATTATCGGTAGAGATATCGGGAAATAACTTCCCAGACCCGGTGTCTTTTGTTCATCATCGAGCCTCAAGAGGTCTTCCTGTACAATTACATTACAGAAGGGAGAGAGTGATTGTGAAAATAGCCCGCAGTTATCGAAAGGAGAGAGAAATTATGGAAATAGCCCTCAATGCAATCAATGTCTTGATTTAATACTAAATTTTTATTAATATTTGAATTCATATATGGTGGTCGATATGTTCTAGTCAGCCAAAGCGTCGGGCCAGCTAGAAATCATTTATGTCGAGGTATGAGCAGCCGGTCTATCGGTTGTGTTTAGTCAGCCTTTAGGGAGCTTCAATAATTAGGATTGTGGATAAGCCCGCTAACCAAATTCTCCGAGGTTGGACTTGATCAATTTGTTGACCTTTCTGATAACCGGTTCAGATCATGTTGCTTGAATTTAATGCTTGGATCGTTGTGTCATCACCTTTTGTCATTCGATTACTTTGAGATTTGTGCTAACTATATTGGTGTGTACACATCAGTTCACTGAGTTTTCCTGCTTCTTAATAGTGACAACTAAGATAAGGATATGAAAATCATCAAACAATTGATGGCATCAAAATCAAGAATTGATTTCAACAATTTACTTTCCTTTGGTTTTTGTGTCCAGTGCGTCTATAGATAACGTCATGGAGAATTATGGCCAAGGCAAGCTTCTAACGCCCGACCCTTGTAAGATAAGAAGGAGAGTGTGAGGAAAGAACAACGGTCGTGGCCCAAACCTGATTCGATCGACATAATCGACTCATCTGATGGAGTTGGGGAACGGTAGCCGAAAAAACTTCACCAATAAACTCTGGCGTGTGGGCCCGATGCTAACATGATGGCCGAGGGCCAGCAAGTCTTGCTTGTGGCAAGTGTTGAGGGTAGCAAAACAGAGTTGGAGGGGCAACGATCATCGTCTCTCAACCGCTATTGTCGGGAGGGCGGAGGTACCTTATTTCGAGAGAGAGAGAGAGAGAAAAAAAAATCTTTTGAAGACCCTTTCTTAGATTTATGGGTATGTAAAGCTTTCTTTGAATGTTGGTGTTTTTTAACTTTTTTTCTTACGTTATCCAAATGTAAATCATATGGTCAGATCGAAAAGCTATGAAGATGATGGACCTTCGAAGGATGTTGTGGAGTCTGCCCCTGCTGTGGTGGTCAGCCCGCAGACGGACTTCGAGGGACTTATATCGGTCGTCTGGCCATTTGCACACTATCAGCTCTCAACAAGAGAAAGGAGTGGCAGCAGCCTCCTCTTGGACCCATGGAGCAACAGGAGGGTAGGACTGGACCCTTGACGGTGTTGGTCGGTTCTTCGGAGGGAGCGGCTGGAGGTTTGGTCGTGGATTATGTGCGGGAGTTATCACCCCACCTGACAACCACGGACACTGAGGTAACGACTCTGTGGGTGGAGGTAGCCATCTTAAGAAGTGGGTTGGCTAAGGCGCCACATAAAATAGGAGTGCTTCACGAGTAGGATGATCTGAGCAAGTTCCACCGCGAGGCTAACCAGGTGGACAAGGATAGGTTAGGCGAAGTGATTGTCCTCCAAAGGTTGACATAGAGGGGATATGTCTAAACTGAGGCCTCTGAGGACCCATTCATAAGCACTTTATTCAAGATCTATAATAATATTATTTGTAATAAAATGGTAATTTAATAAATTCAAAATGATGTTTGGTGTGACACATATCATTACGTGACACTTTATTTTACACGTCAGTTCTATAAATAGGGCAAATGAACTTTTTTTTTACTTTATGCGTAATAGTTTTTTTTTTTTTTTTTTTTTTTTTTTTTTTTTTTTTTTTTCTTTTTTTTTTTACTTTAAGCGTAATGGTCTGAAAGCCCATTGACCAATGAATGATGTGCGCTAACTTCTCCAATCTAAATGTTGGGTCGATGACGGGCTACATATGAGAAGTCCCACAACTTAGCCAGTCCGTCTTTGTATTCCTTTACACTTTTAGTAGATGACATATCTAAGATTGCCCATGTTTTTTTCGCATTGGGCCTCAATCCTTCGGGAGTCAATAAGAAGCCCAATAACTTGTCGATCAAGCTTTCTAAGGTGCATTTTAAATGAGTTAGACACACTTTAAATTTCTTAAGGATTTCAAATGTTTCTTTTAGATCTCCACATGATGTTCAACTCACTTGTTTTTTACAGAGACATCATCCACTTAGACTTTAATATTTTTTCTATTTTCATTGGAAAATATTACATATATGAGATGTTGATAGGTTGCCCCAGCATTATTCAGCCTGAAGGACATTATATTAAAACAAAAATGTGTTGCACGATAATGAAAGAAGTCTTTTCGGCGTCCACCATATGCATTTTTATTTGGTGGTAACCGAAGAAGGTGTCGAGGAAACTCGTCATAGAATACTCGAGTGCAGCGTTCACCAGTGTGTTGATCCTTGGTATGGGGTATGTATCCTTTAGGCAAGCGACATTTAGATTGGTGAAGTCGGCGCACATCCTCCATTATTCGTTGGGCTTTCAAACCATTACTATATTCAAGAGCCAAGTCAGAAATTGAACTTCCCATATGTAGTCCACCTCATTCAACTTCTGGACTTTAGCTGCTATTGGCTCGACCATAAAACTTACAGTTGATCGAAGCTTTTACTACACCGACATAAAATAAACTAATATTGAGCTGATGGTAGGCGTCGTTAACCGTGACTCCGAACATCTTTGTGGTTGTCCAAGCAAACATGTCTCGATGTCAACGATCCCGTGTTCTACGTCAAAACTTCCACTAATTATAAAAACCTTACCAGGTTCTCCCTCATTGGTGATGGGCACTCGAAGGATAGCTTGCTAGTCTTGAAACCTCTGTCCTTTATATTTGAATGCATGATGGTTTGCATCGATGCTGGTGACCGTTCACATGTAACAACTTCTAGATTGTTCTAGGTTGCCTCAGACTATGATTATCTCCTCGTCACCAGAAAATTTCACTACCATATGGCACGTCGAAGTTAACGCCCGATAACCATTCAGCAGTGACTAACCGAAGATGGTTTTATACGTTGGAGGGGATTCCACCAACCAAAAATTCTTAATATTGGTGAACATTTTTTCTTAGTCTCTCAGTGAGATAACTGGGGCAATCACCCAATAGCCTCCTTTTGCTCACCCAAGAATTAGAACAAAGGAACAACTAGTGTAGCCAAGCAGTTAACCCTGAGTCCCATTTTATCGAACACCGTTTTCAACAGAATATTGATTGAACTGCCAGTGTCGATAAGAATACTCCCGACCTAGTAGTTGTTTATGAATGTCTTAATAATGATCACTTAATTATATGGGTTTCCCTTTGGGGGAAGATCTCATCTATGAAAAAAATTAGGAGGTGTGTACGGATGTAAGAGGTGACAGAACATACCTTCACCAACCCGAGTCTTTGTAAGCTGGACAGTCGAGGCAACCCTCCGCCTCTCCCAAAGATAGTTATGATGATTCCAGCCAAGTGAGTTTCATTTGCCTGCATTGGTATGTTTGCGGGTTCCTTTGCTAGGTCTTCTCTTGTTGTTGTGTGTGCATTTAAACGGTGACAAACTCCTTTAACTTTCCAGCTCTAATGAGCTCCTCCAACAAATTTTAGAGACGATGACATTCCTCCGTATTGTGTTCATGGTCTCGATGGCAGGTGTAATATTTGTTCGGATTGTGTAATGCTAATGCTGTCTTTAGTGGAGAGGTTTTCTTCAAATAATCATTGTTTTGAATGGCCTGAACTATCTCGACCATTGACACATTCAGGGGTGCCGAACCTTGCGTATGTTGATATACATGCGATCGCTTATAATACCGAGATGATTGTTGGTTAAAATGGTATCACTAACCCTTGCTTCTTCGGTCATCCCCTTGACCATCCCAAGATTAAAAATTGTCGGTCTGTCATTCGCCACGACTTGATTGCTCTTTGGCCTTTTGTCATTGTTTCAACCCTTCCACTTTTGTGATCGATGGTTAGATGCTCTCAATTTAATTTCTAAAAACTCCACGCGGTCTTCTTTAGAAGTAATGTGGTCATTTATTAATTCCAATACCTCTACAAAGGTCCTTGGCTTGAATAGATTCAAGTCATATCTGAATTGCTTGTTGTGTATTCCTTGCTTTAGGGAGGTATGGGCGATGAGAGGCTCCAAGTTTTTCACATCCAGTATCCCCTTTCTGCAAATGAGTGATGTAAGTCCATAGGCTTTAAGTCTCCCCCTACCAGGTTTGAAGCAGTCTTTGTGTCTTTTCTTGATCTTTGTACATTAATAAAGTGTGTCAAGAAGAGCTTCCTGAATTCAGTGAAGGGTGAAATGATCCCATGTGGCAGGCTTTTAAACCATCACAACATGATTTCTTTGGGTGTGGTCGACAACAGTCGACACTTTATGCTCGTCATTGATTTGTAGAACTTTGATGATTGACTTGAAAGAAGTCAGGTGATCAAAATCATGAGATTGACATCATCAATTTGTAGAACTATCACTATTCTCTTTATAAGGATCAAATTGAGGTATCAAGAGCTTCGTCGAAGGAATGGTTTCAAGGATTATTCGGGAGAAAGTGCTATCCATATTTGGTCGAGCAAGCATCCCCACTCGGTTCATTCGATGTTGGGCTGCCGATGTAGATGTGACACTGTCTGTCGGTTGGGAATCCTTTGGTCCTTTAGTTGGTTGATTGTCAGGCCAATTGTGGGCTCCTGATGGATTATCGAGGGGAGTCTTCTAAGGACGACTTCTCTGAGATTCTTTCTCCATGGGCGGCGGTCGGTCATTATGCTAGATCACGACCACCCGGATAGCCTCGAACTGGTCCATTATTTCACTCACAATACTTGGAATTCTTCATGCATTTCTCGACACACCCCATTTCTATCGAATCCCATGGGTGCTATTTCGCTTTGCAAGGATTCTCCTTTGTAGTTCACTCTGCTTCTCGTATGGGGCATGTCCACGCTCATCGCACCACCTTTCAGGATGTTGAATCCGTAATTGTCATTGGGAAATACACGTCTCGAGAGTTAGAGTCGAGATAAACAATAAACAGATAAAGAAGAAATGTTTTTTAAAGTTCTAAGTAGAGAGACTAAGAAAAAGTCCTCGGACCCAGGAGTCCCTGTATTCAGTGTTGAGTTTCCTATTTATATGAGACATTATTGTATAATTATAGAAAGACAATAGCGATAATGAAAATAGCTCTCAATTTCCAAAAGAAGAGGGCGCTTATGAAAATCTCCCTTAATGGAATCAATGTGCATATTTAATGCTAAAATTTTACTACAATTTGAATTTGAATGTGGCGATTATCAGTAGGGCTACGTGTTCTGGTTCGGTCGATAAAAACGATGGGCCTAGTAGAGGTCGTTTATGCCAAGGCACGAGCGGTCGATCGACATGTTACGTTTGGTCGGCTTTTAGGGAGCTTCGACAGTTAGGACCGTATTTAGACCCATTGACAGGATTTTCCGAGGGTGAACTTGATGAGTTTGTTTGATCTTTTAGATGACCGAATCAAATCACGTCTCTTGAATTTAATGCCTCAGTCATTGTGTATTTATCTTTAGCCATTCAATTGTTTTGAGATTCGTGCCGACAATATTGATGCGTACAATTTTAAATATAATTTTAAAATTGCTTGATCATTGTTATAATGTTGTTTTAATGGTGATAAAAAAAGGTTTGAACATAGTTTCAAAATAATTAAAAAAATCATCTCATCATGACTATAACAAAATCCTCTTATTATACTTATTTTCTTCACGAATGCAGTTGTATATTATAATCATACTAAAAAATATACATACAACTAATAAAAAGACATTATTTAGGCTTTGATATCCCCCCCCTCTTTGTTAGCTCATTAGAGCTTATGAATTATAGTTATATTGGGCCCTTATATATTATTTATTAAAATAATTGATGAAGATAACAATGTGAGATATTCAAACTCGTTCTCAAAGGAAACAACATTATATTTAGGGCCGTTGAGTTTGACTTGATTATTGAGCTAAATTTTAGAGAATTCTAGTTTAAGAGGAAGTTTTAAAAGATAATAAAAAGCAAAGGACAACACAGAAAACAACTTCGATCAAAGATTAAAATTAAAAGGTATAAATCTAACAAAAGCTTCCATGAAGTTATTCTATGGAAACTTGAGCAATTTTTTATTTTTTTTATAGACAATGTTCTTCTCAATCGTGTAAATATAAATTTATTTTCACCAGGATGCTTAACTTGGCTGAAGAGAAGCTGTCATTTTCCTTTTTACAATTACAAGATAGAATGACACTGGTAAAATAAAGTGAGGTGCAAAAATTATAGCTTAAAAAAAGCTCCCATTCTACAAGTGTGCCTTTGCCCTTAGGTCAATGCTCACAATCACCATCAATGTTTTTATCACTTAGTTGTCACTTAACTACCTTAATTGGACTATTATCGCCCAATTACTGTCATTTAACTGTTATTGATCAACTATATTGCTGCATAACTGTCATGACAACAAAGATCATTCATATATCATAACCTGATTATCGTTTATAGTTTTTGATAATCATTACCTACTATCTATTGATGATTATGATCTTTATTACCCAATCACCTTTTTTACCGGCCATTAGCAGACATCAATATTTTATCACTTCTTATTTTCTATTATGCACTTTTCACTCAGAGAAAGCCAAGCTAACAATCACATTCTTTGACATTGTATATGCTAAATTTAGAGTGAATATTAAACTTTTGTAGCATTTACTTAAATGATTTATTATTTTGTCGATGCCAAACATCATGATATCATTCCTTAATGTTTAAATACAATTCATTTATTTTATATGAGTTTTTTCGACCGTGCTAAAATTTTCATGCAAAATTGTTATAATCAACGTAACAACAATATTGACGGTACAAAATAATAAATAAAAATGTACAAAAATGCATAAAACTTAAATATGCAGCGCAAAACACGTTGAAGCATGTGCTCCTCATTTATTTGTTGCGTATAAAAGGAAGCGACGCGCTTCTTAAAAACTCTGGTTCAGCACCCATTACCCAAGTCGTTATTTGCCATGGCCTACCTCGCCGGCGCTGCCGCCCCTTCTCTGAGAACCTCTCTTCACTTCCTGTATCAAAATCCATGCGCGCTACATAAACGGCAGCCCGAAATGGGGGCCAGCCACAGACGCTTCCGTTGTTCGCTAACCCTCGCTGAGGGATGCGCCTACTTTGTTCGCGGTCGGCCTGGTCGATTCCGCCCGTCTTCTTCTTTCTCGGTTTGCTTCTCCTCAGGCAGAAATCTCATCGTTTACCCCTAATTTGAACATTTTTTCTCCTATTATCTATGAATCGCCCCGAGCTAATTCATCTATTGGGGCTTGCAGCGCTGACGCCAGAGCTTAAGTCAACGCTGGACAAGGTGGTGAGCTCGCATAAAGTGGTTTTATTCATGAAGGGCAGCAAGGATTTCCCGCAGTGCGGCTTCTCCCGCACGGTGGTGCAGATCCTTATGTCGCTGAACGTGCCCTTCGAAACCATGGACATCTTGGAGAACGAGATGCTGCGCCAGGGCCTCAAGGAGTACTCCAGTTGGCCTACCTTTCCCCAGCTCTATATTGACGGCGAGTTCTTCGGCGGTTGCGATATCACAGTTGGTGAGATTGCATATCTCTTCCTTCTCTGTCTCTATTTCTCCTTGTCGTTCTTCCATCTGAATTAAAGCAGGTGATTGATATTTCATATTGTTCATATGAAGCGGCAACCTGAGTCTTCCCCCACATTCATGAATTACGATTCCCGTGATCAACAGAAAAGAATAAGATCAATATAGAATGGGAGTCGAAGGAAATGAAAGTGCTTGTGGTACTTCTTTTTCTAGTTGATTTCAGTGGAAGAGGGGAAAAAAAAAAAGATTTTGCAGGCTTAAAGAAAATTTAAACGGGCATTTACAAGCATAGCACACAATTTTTATGTATTTATATATCTCATACCTAAACATTAATATTTACACACATAGCACTCAAACAGTTAATATCACATAAAAATAACACTATTATCACGTTGTAAAAGTGAAATACACCTTTTTCTCATATAAATTTAAAGCACCGAAGTGTGATCTATGTAAACATGGAAGTTTAGGTGTGAGATATGTAAACGCGCAAGAATTGTTTGCTACGTATGTTAAATTTCCATAAATGTTTTATTTGGCTAGCTCCGGGAGTAAATGCTCCTTAATCATTGTTTGGTAACATGCATATTTTGGCGTGATCTTATGAGATGTTTTGGTCTCATTCACATATGATAAGCCATTGAAAGTTCTTGGAGCTTGCAGCTAACCAATAAACGTTCCTGTGGTATAGAAATGATGTGTATTATGGAAGGGATAAATAATTTGCATTATTTAAAGAGGGAAAAAGCTATGTAGTTTACAAGTCTACTCTATCACCAAAGGATTTGGAAATTGTTGGGAGAATTAGGAAAGCAACGACGATGCCAAAATTTCTTAACCCTCTTTCTTAAACACATGCATAGCATCTTCCAAATTGGAGTAGAAGAAGATGTGAGGAGCCATCATTAACTCAATAAACAACCATGCTCCTTTCAAAAGAAGCAACAACTTTGACAATCTAACCTTGGCAATCAACGAAAGCAAAGTGAACTCCATCCAGGGTGATGCATAACAATAAACTGCCTAGAAAAGGCCACTTCTCTTAGCAAAAAACAAAATGAAATCGTAATTTTTATACTAATCCTTACTGACAAGTATTCAAATGATGGCGGCAAAAGAAGACTCAGGCAACTGACAATCATATTAGGTTGACAACAAGAATTTCCTTTATCTTCAATAGTGATTTGTTGGAGTAAATGAACTAAAGGGTGAGCCATGATCCAAGAGGCTCTCCTCGCATTATTATGTTTGGCTAACAGATAAGCCAAGTTACTTGGTTAGACCATGCTTTTGTGCAAATATTGGTCTAACCTATCCCACTATTTAGGTTAAGTTACATGAACGAGGAAGCTCACCAACATGGATAGGCAAATCTTGCATGAAATTGCATAGGAGCATTACAATATATATAAGGGCTACATAAAAAAGCCACTCATCACTTTTTTTTATCCCCATCTTGATTGACTAATATTTTATTATTTTATTTAATAAAAAAGCTGTGCAATCAGAGATGGTCACTCCCCTTAGAGTATTTTATTACTATTCCAATAATACTACAATATTGGGTGATTGAAGAAATAAACGAGAGGGGGGTGGTATTTTATTAGAGATAGTAATAAAATTAGATAGCTACTTGATTTCAAGGCATGGAAGCTTGTAATGAGTTTGAGGTGAAATTGAGCTAAATTAGTTTCGTTGAGACTTTGTTTAGTGAGGTTCAACATCTGAATTTATTAAATCCTTTTATTAATATTGAATTGATGTGTTAATATTCAATGGTTTTATGGGAAAATCAGATAATTTCATTTTTTTTCTAATAGTTTTTGTTTTCTAGAATTGATAGGAATATTGTCAAGTAGTAGTGATTTAGTGATGGATTGCCCATCTACGTGTAAGGACCTAGAAAATTGTCTTTCCTATGGATCAATTATCAAGCTTTATAGTTTTTTTTCTGTTGGATCAACTCTCTAAAATTGTATACTTAATGTAGGAGCCCTTACTTTGATGTCGGTATTTGAAATGAGTGGTGGGAAAGTTTTGAACTAATAATACGAAAGAGAATGATAGAATTCTAAGGATTAAATGTTGATCTGTTTGCACGAGGAAAACATCTCTAGGGTTGAACTTAGCTTAATAGTGGAGAAATTGGCGTCATTAGTCATCAACGCTATCAAACTTCTTAACGACTGATGGAATTGATGAGCTATAAAGCAAGAAGGATGAGGAGACTTTTGTTCATAGCATTATATGGGATATGCAAACCTCAGGTCCTTTAACTTCTTGGTCCTAATAAATTTTCACTGACTTATTCATGAAATGCATATATAGGCATTATTGAAGGGGGCCAAGAGACGACACTTAACTATAGTTGAGATCACCATGGTGATCAATGTGACAAGACTTTTTTTCTTTGAAATCTCTATGTTGAAGATGCTAAAAATAGAAACCTTCATAATCAATTTAGTTATTATTATATTGTTTTTTTTTTTACCTTGAGGAATCTTATCTTAAGGACATATGGATGTGCGAAGTCGAATTTGGTTTTAAATATTTTTTTCATCACAATGAATTATGAATTAATTATCCTATAAACGTCATACATGCATCTTAAACTTTTGAATGTTCATAGGAATTTTTAGCGATTGTGGTGAATTATTTTCTAGGTCCTTGATTAAATAGTGTAACTAGTTCCTTTAGTAGAAACACATGATTCTTAGATTTGCCATGCTAGCCAAGTTAATTGTTGGGGCTGATTATGATTATACTTCAAGGGATAATTCATTGTAATAGTTCTTGATTCTAATTGGGTTATACTCTTATGGTATTTTGCCTCTATAGTGCACAATGTTTATGATTACACTTCAAGGGATAATTCATTGTAATGGTTCTCGATTCTAATTGGGTTATACTCTTATGGTATTTTGACTCTATAGTGCACAATGTAACTTTTGAGTTTCTTCGTAGTTATTATTAGGTTCAACTCTAGAGATGTTAGCTCATGCTCTAGACAAAACATATATTTTTAACATTACATAAAAAATAATACTATTATCTATTATGTAAAAGTGAAATACACATTTTCATGCATAGCTTTATGAACCAATGTTTTATCTATGTGAATACAAAAGCTTAGGTGTTAGATATGTAAATACATAAGAATTGTGTGGTATGTATATAAATTTTTTTTTTTTAATTTTTAAAATTTTAAGAAAGCAACGAAAAAGTGCGTAGGCAACTTCCCTTATTTTTACAAGTGTCAAAATTCATGATGGAGTATGCTGGCAACTCATTTTCCTATTTAGAGCATTACGGTTGTCTTTACACATACACGCACGCGAGCGCGTGCGCACACACACATATATATATGGATGTATGCTTATGAATTAAATTTTTTATAGACATCTTATATGTATCCTTATGCTTGTAAATTTTCGCTAAGGGTTGCTTAGTAGAGGCAGTGAATTCTTGTCTGTGATCTTGACTAAAATGGTGTAATTGGTTCCCTAGCATGAATGCTCGATTCTTAGATTTGTCTTGTTGGCCAAGCCATTTGTTAGGGCCGAGGATAATTTCATTTGGAGGGATAAACCAATGTGTCAGTTATCGGTTCTAATCGAGTTACATTCTTGTAGCCCTGTATATTTAGAGCACTTTTTAACTCTGAGTTGCATCCTTTATGTTATTATTGGGTAAAGCTCTAGGGAAGTAGCTCCTACCCAAGATGAAACATCCATCCTCACCATTCTTCTCGTCCTCCTTTTTTTTGAAATTCAAAAAAGTAAAAGAAGGTAGTGATAAAATGTGGAGACAACTTCTTTGATACTCACTCGTGTCAAAATTGGTGGTTGATTCTTGTTAGGCTCTATATACATGCATGTTAAGGGGTTACACACCTCTTTCTTAACTAGATTAGTAGTCATAAGATCTTTGGGCACTTTTTCTTGTACCTCCCTCAATTGTTCTCTCTTGAGGATTTATATTTATTCATGGATAAGTGTTATGCAGGTCTCAGGCTTTTGTGTTGGTGGCGATGAACTAGGCTCTTTGGCATCTTCTATTGGTGTTGACTCAAGTCACAACTCATGTCATTGTTGTCCTAATGCTCATATTATTTTCTCTCAAAATTCCTTATTAAAAAAATCTCTTATTCAGTTTATCTCAACTCCGACACAATTATACCAGGTTTCTGTTTATTATTAGAAGAATGGAATTTCTGCATCACTTTTGGAATGAATGAGAGATGCCCATTAATCGACATTAAGACAATGATGGATGTGAAGGCCTAGAGGAAATCGTGCCGTAGATTAAGTTCTTGATTCCGCTACATGTCCCATTTATTATTATGTCACATTTTTTTTTGAGACTAATTCCAATTGTTTAGTTTAGGATTATGCATAAAAGTAAATTTTTTTTATTAAACTCAATGAAATAAGCGTGCTATTTATTTTTTTTCTCCTCTTATTTAGTTCTCCTTGAAATTTGTGAGGTTGTCTCCGTGCAAAGGATGTTTTTGACGTTGGGGTTGATGCCCCGCTTGAGCCAATTCACATGTGCTAGAAGGATGGGCCTAGTAAGAAAGCATTGGCTCTGAAGAATTTGAGGTGTTGACCTCAAGTGGTTAACTTTGGCTACAAGGACTTGGATTTGTCTTAAGTTAATGCTCTTATGGTTCAGGATGTTGGCTCCATTGAGCCCTTTAAGCTCCTCATTATTAAAAAAGCCTCTGCCACACTTGCGCATTTTTGGGAGCTATGCCCTTTAAATTTGGTAGGGTTGCTTATGTTGCTATCAACTTTATTGATGTTGTTAGACCTTCTATTGTTGTTACACCTTTTAATTTGTTGGAAACATTATAATTTTTTAGCCCACTAAGGGTTTTAGTTCCTCCCTATAATAGCCTTAATTTTAATGTAAGGGTGGCTATGTTGGCAATATAATAGAAGTCAAATCAGATGACAAGCTTCATTAGGAGTGATCATAAGGTCT